GAGGTTCTCATGCAGCACACGCTGGCATTTTTGTTTTGAAAAATTGACATTTTTGTTTGTTTTGATCAATGCTTTTATAGTAGTATTAGGAGAAAAAAATAAATGTGAATGAGCTGTCAGGAGCCTTCTTCGGAAGTCTATCTTTCAGTCCAGAAGCAGGTTTCACTTTAGACAAAATAATGTCCAAAGGGGGCCACTAATTCATATTTTAGTCTGACAAGATGACTTTACTAGAGTCCCTGTAGGAACATATAAGAAATTCAGAGATGCATACTTTCCCCCTTGTTTAGATAAGTAAAAGAATATAGAGTGAGTTTCAGTTATTTCTTTCAATGAGATGGAGGGGCCCATTCAGGTAACCAAAAAGATATCTGTGGAAAGAGGCACTCTTGATTTCTAACTGAGAGAGAGAGAGCAGTGCAAAGCCAAAGGAGAACGGGACCTGGGCCCGGCCGGTTGGAACGCCGTCCCCGGCACTGGGAGGCCTGGGGTTTGATCCCCAGTCGGGGCACATACCTAGGCTGTGGGTCCGGGGTCTGGTCAGGGCGCCATGGGAGGTGGCCGATCTATGTTTCTCTCTTACATTGTTATCCCCCACCCCCTCAAAAAATCAATGAAGATGTCCCTGGGCGATGGAAAAAAGAATAAAATTATCCATGTCAGTGACAGAAAGGCATCATATTCCTATAATTAAGACTGGTCTTAAATTTGGATGTTTAGGGCCTAAATATAACCACCACAATTTGTTAGCCTGCCACAAAGCAAGCAGCCTACGCTGACAAAGTGTAACCGGAGAAACAACGCCGCGTGGGTATCTTCATGGGACCGTAACAACTTCGGGGCCTAAAAAGCAGAGTGGCTCCAGCATGAGCTCAGGGGCATGTCTGCTGGCTTCACACGGGGGCTGGGCGGGGCTCACTGAAGCCGAGGGAAGGTCAGGGACCTGAGTCCTGTCCAGCGACAAAGTGTTAGACAAGTATCAGCCTATCAGAATCACTGCGAAGCCTCACAAATAAAAATGGGTGCCAGTGCTGACTCTTAGCCCCCTGAACCAGGTCTCCTGGGATGGACCTGGGCACCGGAGCATTGTAAACCTCTGCAGGAGGTTCTGACCTGCCCCTCGGGGCTGGGCACCACACAGCCTCGGACTTCCCGTGGGAGGGTCAGCCTGCAACTCTCCCACTAGGGCCAGAGAGTAAATGACCAAAGGGCTGTTTTCATATTTAAAACTCTGCAGTGGTGGTTGCCCTTAATCGGAGAAAAAGTAAGCTGTTCTTCCCCCTGCCACAACCACCACATGGAACCAGCAATGGGAGGTGGGGTGGGGACAGTGCAGGGGCTGTCACTCGGAGCAAATGCGGTGCCACCATTGCAAGACGTGTTCCTGAGCTCACCAGCCTTCCCTTTAAGACCTCCCAGAAGCCCTGGGTGGAGAATGCATTGCAAAAGCCTTCTGGGAAACAAGACCACATCAATGGTGATTCAGTTAGTTAGGTGAGGGGCCTGAACAGCACTTGGCACTCTGGGCTCTTGGAAAGTGATGCATCTTACAGGATCCTGTAGGTTCACTGACTTCCTTGGTGGGTCCCAGACTCACTGTTAACTGTATTTACGACACAGTGAACACGCAGCTCTCTTCCCGCCTTTGTATGTTCAAAAATGACCTTTGAGCCCTGGCCAGTTTTGCTCAGTGGTTAGAGTGTCAGCCCTCAGACCAGAGTCCCGGGTTTGGTACCTGCTAAGGGCATGTACCTCGGTTGCAGTTTGTCCCCGGCCCCGACTGGGGTGGCAACCACTCGATGTGTCTCTCTCTCTCTTCTTCCCTATTACCTCCAGCTTTATCTGAAGATGAATGCAAAAATGTCCTCAGGTGAGGATAAAAAAAAAAAAAGACCCTCGAGGCAGACAGCGAGTGCTGACTCTCGGCCTGCTGGGGATGTTGCAATGCAATGAACTACAAGCAGGCAATACTTGGAGTGAGGGGGAGCATCGCAAGGGAGCAAATGCTCCAGATCTCTGGATGCAGCCCACTTTATTTGCAAAGTGATTCTCTAGGTTACATGGTGTTTTAGGTAGTTCCTTGAGATTGTCTCCGCTGACCATACAGTCAAGCCCAGAATATTTCCTGTCTCTTGATGTTTTCAGCAGAGATACATCATAACAAACTCATTCACGGCTGGGCATATTGCCCATTGTCCCTTTCAGGGTGGCTTTCCAAACCCATATTCATGCATACCTTATCTGTTCACACACACTGTGATCCTTGGCTGGCCAGGTCAAGAGAACGCATACCTCAAGGTTACATTTTGTTCATCCACCAAATGCCCAACCCTACAGCGAGCTCATTCATTTGGATTTTATAGACAAGTATATGTCAAATAAAATTTTGGGAACTGACATATGATGATCAACTTTATATCAAGTAAGGACAGTGAAAAAGACTAAAAACTATGGTCTATTATAATTCCATTAAAACAGGGCTATTTCAACATACAGGAAGGATAACTTCAGAATTTAAAAACTGTGCACATTGAACTTTAAAAACAACCCTACACTGCACTTGGCTTTCTATTTTCTGTGGACTGATAAACAAGTGTATTAGCACCTCATCTCTGCCAACCGAGCTCCTCTGCCTCGAAACACAGGGCAGCCACCGCACTTGGAGATGCCGATTTATTCAAAGAAGTCCTGCAGGGCTTTAAGGGTACCCGGAGGGATTCAAGCGCAAAAGTCTCGCAATCTCTTGCCTCGGTTTATGATATGAATAACTGTGTTTAGTCCTGGCCAGGTGGCCCAGTTGGTTGGAGTGTCCCACACACGAAAAAGGCTGCGGGTTCAATTCCCAGTCAGGGCACATGCTTAGATTGTGGGTTCGATCTATGGGAGGCAACGGATTGATGTTTTTCTCTCACATCAATTTCCTTTCTCTCTAAAGTCAACAAACATATCCTTGGGAGAAGATTAACAACAAAACAAAACTGTGTTGAGTGCTAAGAGCCAGAAACTGTATCATTGCTTTAAAGAGAAGTAAAAAAGACACATTGTGGCACAAAACTTGCATCTGGAAGGTTTTTTAATCATGATCTCATCCTGGTGGTTTTCAAACTAGCACTGCATGAAGCCGCAGTAACAGTACTTGAACCAAAAGACCTGTATCTGCTTTAAATAGCCGAGCTTCCAAATAAGATAGAGTTCAATTGCTTTAAGAAATGCTTGACCACCACTGATTTATATTCCCTCTCAAATATAAAAGGGAAATTGAGGCTGGAAGAAGCCCCCTGTTTAATTGGCAGAAACTGGTGGCTTTCAGAGGTGTGGACAGGAAGGGTTCTTACTGCCGACCCTTCGTAGTGTCTGCTCCATGGTTGACCCAAATCTTCCACTGCTCCAGAGTCCCCTCAGGAATTTTCTGGCTTCTTTTCATCCTGGACCCTGTGCTCTGCTTGGTACACTGTTTCTGCATGGTCATGTCAAGCCTGTCACTGGCAAATGTTGGAAATCAATTTAAACTCCAGGTCTGTATTTTTGCTCCTATTTTGACTATTACTGATATTACTTTAATAGTATTTTATTATATTTGAAGAGTATAGAGCTTATATTTGTAGGAAAGCTTTATGACTCTAAGGTCATGTCCATGTAAAATTTTGAAAGGGGTTTTATTTTATGAAAGATACACTCTTGTTAATGCCCGAGCTCTGCTGCCCGGTATATGAGCTGAGATGAAGGGGCATTGCTCATCCGAGCTCCCTGCACGGCTGACCGCAGGGGGCTGACACCATTACATGCCAGGTATACCAGGCTGCAGCACATCATTCTGCAGCACACACCTCGATGCTGGAGTGCAGTGTGTGATAGGGTGATAAGTCTGGACAGATAAATTGAAAAACCAAAACTTTATATAACCTAAAACAGTGATTTTTCAAACTGTGGTTCCTACTCATTAGTGGGTCACAAATGAATTCAGTGAGTTATAAGAACACTGAAAAAAAAAAAAAAAGCCAAAAGTACAATAGAAGAGAAAATATCAAAGTATATTACATGCTTCGGGGGTAAATATTACTTCATAAATCTTTTATTTCAATCATATATATGTACTAATACATATATACTGGTATGATATAAAATATATTTCACAGCCCTCAACACTGCCCTAGAGAAAAATATGCTTGGCTACCCAGTCCTTTGAGAAGAAATTTCTTTTTGACTTTTTATTTTTTTGTCATTTCTGAGCAATGGCTCCTCATCCAGGGTCCTCTGGGGGCCTCTCCCCTCAACTCAATAACAATGACCCCTGCGCACTATCATTTCCTGGTTCACGGCTACTTTCCGGACAATTCCTCCTATCAGCCTGCGAGCTCAGCTGAGAAGTTCCCACAGTGCGTCTGAATGGACCTGCTACCACGTGCCAGGCACGGGCCGGGCTTCACAGACAGGGTTCGCTCTCTCACCTGGAGCCGTGGCACACCTTCCCCTGGAGCTCCTAGCACAGCACCCGCGGGCTGGGCTAGTGTTTCCAATAAAGAAATTCGGCTCTGGCTGGTTCTGCTCAGTGGTTAGAGCTTTGGCCCGCAGACCAGAGAGTCCTGGGTTTGGTTCCCGCTAAGGGCACGTACCTCGGTTGCAGTTTGTCCCCGGCCCTGGTTGGATCATGAGGGTGGCAGCCACTCAATGTGTTCCTTTCGCGTCAATGTCTCTGTCTCTGTCTCTGTCTCTGTCTCTGTCTCTGTCTCTGTCTCTCTCCCTCCCTCTCCCACTCTATCTGAACAAAATATGGAAAAGTGTCCTCAGGTGAGGATAAAAAAAATGAAAAAATAAAGGAATTCGGCAATAAGCACATTCCGCTGGGTATAAACCACATAAATTAGATCCGACAAAATATAAGTTTCAAATAAAATAAAATATTTACTCATTTCTTTGTACTTAAGAAATACAAAAGTACTATACAAAGCTTTATATTGATTAAATCGTAATAGTTGTATAAAAAGTTGAGACACTGACATTCTGTAGCTAAGGTAATAATTATATTACTTCCACATATTGCATATGGTAAAGTTATACAACCATAATCCTTTGATTTTGAACAATTATAAACTTACTATTTTAGCATAATACCACATATTCAGTTCTAGTAATTACTGTCACCTAAAGTAATTTACCAAAAGTACTACATGATACTGAGGGTAAAGGAAAAACAGTTAATGTAACAATTTTCCAAATGTTAGTAAGAAAGAAACACATCAATGTACACTGGATTTGGGGTGTATGTGTGAACATAATTCGGCCTATGATTTAGTGAAATCTGGGAGAGTGAACGAACGCGTTTTAAACTAGAAGAGCGCTCATGTTGATCAAGTTCAAAACCTTCATCTTTCAGGTTAGGAATCAACTGCGCACCAGGGTCAGTGACTCGTCCACAGGGTCACGTAATCACTCAGCAAGGGAGGTGCCCCAGGTCTCCTGGAAACACATCTCTTCTATTCCTTAAGACGTTTATGGAATAGAATCATATTTTATTCTATAAATAAAATCATATTTTATAATACATCAGAATAAAACCATATTTTAAAAAGCTCAAATAAGCATTCAGGACAGCAAATACATGATAACATTTTAGACTTAAAAAACAACGCTACAGCAAGAGTTTAATAAAAATATATGTTGACAAGTGTTTCCAGTTAACATAATTAGGTTGAAATACAGTGTTACAAACATTGATGGCAGAAGTTCACTGGTGTGATGATTCGTTTGCATGTTGATGTATTATTCTTGCATCTCGGCTGCGTTTTCATCTGTATCACTTGAGTTACATTTTTTCCACAGAAAGTTCTCATTTGATTTCCAAAGAGACGTTTCCAGCTGCTCCTTCCTTCTGGAGGCTGCAGCAGGGGGCGCTCTTTCACACAGCGTCTCTATCACCGTCAAGTCAGTGAGCTGACTGAGATGGTCGCCGTTCTGCTCATTCAAGATGTCCCAGAAATCTTTCGGTCTCTGCTTTGCTTTTTCCAGGGGCCCTGAAAGAATTTTCTTTGGCAGTCGTGTGGGACTGTTCCCATGACTTTTAAAGAGGTCATCAAGAATAGAGGTGTCACCGAGTAAGCCTACCACAGAAATCTTTTCTAACACTGGATTTTTTATTGTTTCGTTTTCCACTTCGAGACAGGCTTCATTTCTTGAACTGCCCATTCTTGTGAAGGTCTGCTGGTCTATCATGGTGTTTTCTGACCTTCTCTCACCTGCTGCAGACTCACTGTTCAGGGAACTGGAGGCCACAGTGTCCTTGGACACTTGGCTGGGTTTTTCGTTGTCAGTCTCCTGGGTGGAGCTGACAGGTAATTTCTGAGTTTCTGCACTGTTAGACAGCACCTCTTCTCTACAGAAACCATGACTCTGAGGCTTAATTGATTTTTCTTTATATATTTTTGAGCTGCAAGTCTGAGAACATTTTTTGGTAGAAGCTTTAAATGACAAAGTTTTGGAATCTGGCAGCCTTTCTTTTATAAGAGATTCTCTCCTTTCAGACTTGTTCCCGACTCTCTTTCCTTCCCCACAGGCAGGTTTAATGAATTCCGTGGCAGAATCCACATAAAAACTTTTGACCTCTGGATACTGAGAAGCATAAAAGTCTCTCAGCATTTTCTGTCGTCCTTCTGATGTGGCAGTAGCTACATGTTGGGCAAACTCCTTTACAGAAGACAAATTAAAATAAGAAGCCATTTCTTCAAATTGTTTTCTGAAGATTTAATGAACAAAACCAGTGGTTATTTTTATTACATTTTATTTTCAAAGAACTTGTCATCATATGAAACGTAGAAACAAAGCAATCTTATTCCTTTAGCACATATTACCTTCATTCCATAACAGAAGTGCCTTTTACACTAGAGAATGTGACCCCTTTCCTTACACTACTGAAAAAAATATTTTAGCTCATGAAATCACCAGCTTTTAAAATTATTCTGATTTATACTATTAGGAATTTCCTGGGAATTATGGGATCCCAGCACGCTACTCTTCCAGTCAGCCAATTTATGACTGACATGAGAATCGTAATTCATATGATCTGTATTTGAAAATCTATATTACATTCAAGTTCCATAAAATAAAATTGTCAAAGAAGGGTCTTAATATGTAGAAAAGAAAAAAATTCTGAAAAACAAGAAGGGAATTTTTAATTTCTCTGTCCTTTTCCCCTTTCTTCCACACAAATACAACTTTTGATGAGCCTAAATGAAAGTTCTAAATTGATAAACCTGGATTCTTTCTTCCCCGACTGGTCCGATTTGGGTATAGACAGCTAAACCGGAAAGTGAGACACTACTTTTTCCCACAGAACTACAACAAGTAATCCTAAAATGTATATGGAACCACAAAAGACACGAATAGCCACAGCAATCTTGAGAAAGAAGACAGTTCGAGGTATTGCATGACCTGATAACAAACTACTACAGGCCATAGTAGTCAAAACAGCAAGGTACTGGCATAAAAACAGACATACAGATCAGTGGAACAGAACAGAGAGCCCGGAAATTAACCCACGCCTTTACAATCAATTAATACGTGACAAAGGAGGCCAGAATGTACAATGGGAAAATATAAAGACAGCCTCTTCAATAAATGGTGTTGGGAAAACTGGACAGAAATGTGCAAATAATGAAACTAGATCACTTTCTTACACCAAACACAAGAATAAATTCAAAATGGATAAAAGATTTAGATGTGAGACCTGAAACCATAAAATTCCTAGAAGAAAACATAGGCAATAAAAGAATATTACTCAGCTATAAAAAAGAATGAAACTGTTCTCATTGCTCTTAGTAATATTTTTTTGGATATATCTCCTCAGGCAAGGGAAATAAAAGAAAAAAATAAACGTTTGGGACTACATCAAACTGAAAAGTTTTTGCACAGCAAAGGAAACCATCAATAAAACAAAAAGACAACCTACTGAATGGAAGAAGATATTTGCTAATGATACATCTGATGGGGGTTAATATCCAATATTTATAAAGAACTCATACAATTCAACACCAAAAACACAAACAATCCAATTAAAGAAATGGTTAAAGGACCTATACAGCCACTTCTCTGAAAGGGACGTGCAGACGGCCAACAGACATAGGAAAAGATGCTCGATGTCACCAATCACCAAAGAGATGCAAATTAAAACCACAATGAGCTGCATCACCTCACAGCTGTCAGAACTGCTATCATCAATAAATCAACAAGTGTTGGTGAAGATGTGGAGAAAAGGGAACCCGAGTGCACTTTGTTGGTAGGACTGTAAATTGGTGCAACCACTATGGAAAACAGTATGGAGGTTCCTCAAAAATTAAAAATAGAACTACCTTATGACCCAACAATTCCGCTTCTGGGTATTATTTGAAGAAATTCCAAACACTAGTTTAAAAAAATATATGCATCCCTACATGCACTGCAGCATTATTTACAATAGCCAAGATATGGAAGCAACCTAAGTACCTATCAATAGATAACTGGATACAGAAGATGTAGTACATATACTCAATAGAATATCACTCAGCTATAAAAAAGAATGAAACCATATCATCTGTAACAACATGGATGGACCTAGAGGGTATTATGCTAAGTGAAATAAGTCAGACAGAGAAAGACAAATACCAGGTGATTTCACTTATTTATGGAATCTAAAAAGCAAAACAGAAAAGATTCATAGATACAGTGAACAAACTGATGGTTGCCAGGTAGGAAGTGGGCTTGGGGCGGGGTGAAAAAGGTGAAGAGATTAAAAAGTACAGATTGGCAGTTACAAAATAGTCACACTGATGTAAATATAGGAAATGCAGTCAATAATAATAATGTAACATGTATGGTGACAGGTGGGTATTAGACTTACCAGAAGTATCACTTGGTAAGTTATATAAATGTCTAACCACTATGCGGTATACCGAAACTAATATAATATTGAATGCCAACTGCAATTGAAAAATAAAATTAAAAAAAAACATATAAAAATGCATGTGTCACTTCTGATATTAGGGCAAAAAAGATGTGAGATGCTATTTAAAGCGAGTTGAATTCCTAGTATAAGATACTCATTAAAGCTGTTACATGCAGGTGTGGGAAATGGACCTTCTGAAACCCTGGTAAGATAGAGGAAGAAAGGTTGTTTCGGGACTCTGGGCACTAGATTCTGCTCCTTTTGCCAGGCGAGGGTACTGTGGACTGAACTGTGTTCTCCCAAAGTCATATGCTGAAGCCCTGATCAATCCCAGTGTGACTAGATTTGGAGACAGAGCCCTCAGGAGGTAATTAAAGTTAAATGAGGTGGTAAGAACTCACCAGAGAGCTCTTTCTCTCTGTCATGACAAGACACAGTGAGGAGGTGGTCATCTGGAAGCCAGCAAGAGAGCCCTCGCCAGAAACCAAATGGACTGGCACCTTGATCCTGGACTTCCCGGGCTCCGGAACTGTGAGGAATGTCTACCATGAGCTCCAGTGTGTGGTCACTTGTTACGGCATCCCAAGCGGACCAAGTAAGACAGCGGGTATTGCTCTGCTGATGCTGGGTTTGGGCCGTGGGTCAAGCCAGCCCAACGTTTGTAAACATTCCTGTAACCCAGCAGTTCTCAACTGTGGGTCGCGACCCCTTTGGGGGAGGAACGACCCTTTCACAGGGGTCGCCTAAGACATAACAGTAGTAAAATCACAGTTATGAAGTAGCAACAAAAATAATTTTATGGTTGGGGGTCATCACATCATGAGGAACTGTATTAAAGGGTCGCGGCATCAGAAAGGTTGAGAACCACTGCAAAACCATAGATGGTGTTGCAGCACATGATTGAAAATCCCAAAGTTTTAGAATTTCATCTATATTTTATATACTATTTCCATAAAACATTCATTTATTTATTCAACCCATATTTATAGAACCCTTTTATGTACTAGGCACTGTAGTAGGAACTACACAACAGAACCAGCCCTACTTCCCTGTCTTCAAGGACTTTATGAAGGTCAAACCAAAGCAGTGGTAAATCCCATGATGGGGTCTAATGCAGGACACCCCCACAGGGGACCTAAGCCAGTGACCGGCAATGGGCAAAGTGGTAGGGAAGGCTTCTCTGCTGTCACCTCCAGCCATTCCGGCAAAGACGAGGGATGGGGCCTCCCAGGGAGAGGGAGCACGCACAGGCCAGTTCTGCGAGGACCTGGTGCACAGACAGGAGGGACAAACTGCCAAGAAAGAGGCCGAAAACCAAGAGGGATTTGTATGACACTTTCAGTTTGGATTTTGCACACAACAGAGAATCCTGAAGGTAAAAGTTTTCAAAATGTGTGTAAGTAGAAGCTTTAACGTCCCTGTTATTTTTGCCACCCAGGGCCGGCTCTAGGTGTGCGCTCCCCGTGAGCTCAGTGGTGAGCCATACTGCACGCTCGTGACTTCTGTGGCTTCAGGTGAGCACCGTGACTCCCAGTCCTCACCACACTGGGCCTGTTCCTGTTCCAATCCAGGCACTACCTCTGCCTGATCAACAGCCACGCTCAGCACCTGCACAGTATGTATGTATGTATGTATGTATTTATTTATGATCCTCACCCGAGGACATTTTTCCATTTTTTGTTCAGATAGAGTGGGAGGGAGAGAGAGGAAGAGAGAGAGAGAAACATTGATGTAAGAGGGACACATCGAGTGGCTGCCACCCGCACGACCCAACCAGGGCCGGGGACAAACTGCAAGGTATATGCCCTTAGCGGGAACCGAACCCGGGTCTCTCTGAACCGCAGGCTGATGTTCCAACTGCTGAACCAAACAGGCCAGGCTGCAGAGTATTTAATAACACAGACACAACCTTCCCAAATTCTGTCCTGGAAATTGCCTTGTTCTTGCTGGAAAGCAACAACATAATCTTACAGGGTTGTAGTTTTCACTTCACATGAAGCAACTGAGGTAGTATTATTTTGTTTATTAATCATCTCCAAATCCATTTGATTGGTCTAATAAATATTTATGCTGTGAAGACTAAGTTATTGGCAAGGTTAAAAGCTAATGTCTTTTTATTTATTTTAATTTTTTTCTTTATTGATTTTAGACAGAGAAGAGGGAGAAGGAGAAAGAGAGAAACATCGATGAGAGAGAACATCAATTGGCCGCCTCCTGCATGCCCCCCACTGGGGATCGGGCCCACAACCTGGGCATGTGCCCTGCCCAGGAATCGAACTGGCGACCTCTTGGTGCATGGGTCAACACTCGATCACTGAGCCACACTGGCTGGGCCAGGCTGATGTCTTTTATTTATCCAAGACTTAGTGGAGTCTCAGCAGCTGCCAAAGGACTTTGGCCTTTGCTGTACTGATCTTGCCCCTGACTTTTGGCTCGGTCACCTCTGGGAGTAGAGCTGCTTCTGACCTCATTTTATCTGAGTGGTATGCAAGGCAATTATGCTGTGTGGCTGCCTGTTACAGAATGAGTTATGATTGTAATTCATTTTATTTTGCCTTCTAACTTGCTTTCCTAATTCTTGGTCTTAAAAGAATATTTTCTAAAAATTTAAGGAACTGCAAGGTACAATCAGGGGGTATAAGCTAGCCACTTCGTGAGGAAAATTTAGTAAACTAGAGTAGACACTCATAAGCTACTTAGAGAGAGATAAAAAGGAAACCCCAAACAGGTATCTTTCATCATGTATATCCAGAGTAGTGACATACCATGAATAAAATTCAAATGTCTCTCCTCTTTTCTTACGGAACGGGGGCATGGGGGGGAACATAGCTAAAAATCTTCATCTTCTCTCTGCCTGGCTTTCTGGAGGGAAGGTATCGCTGAACACTTCCTTCGGAAGACCCATCGGCTGGCTGCCTTGTGGAACAGTCTTGATTCTCATAATGCAGGGTGGTTAGTAAGAAAGGTGTTAGCAGTTTGGACACTGTTCCCTAGTTCAGATGTTGGCATTCTAATATTAGACACCTTCATCTTTTTACTTAGCATGGGGCATTTATTCCCTAGGTTGGGTAGAGAAAAAAGGAAGAGAGGCAAAAACTGTTCATTGTCAATATTTTCATTTTCATACACAGTGTTAAAGGGGATGAAGACACATGTGCTCCTCAAAGACTGGAAAACAAATGATTACCCTCCTAGCAAAATCCTGCCAAAGAGAAAAGGATACCCTGCAAAAATCACTGCTGTGAGGACATGTACTGCAGTGGGGAGATGTACTGCAGCGGGGAGATGCATTGCAGTGAGGAGGTGCGCTGCAGCGGGGAGATGCATTGCAGTGAGGAGGTGCGCTGCAGCGGGGAGGTGCGCTGCAGTAGGGAGGTGTGCTTCAGTGAGGAGATGCACTGCAGCAGGGAGATGCATTGCAGTGAGGAGATGCATTGCAGTGGGGAGATGCATTGCAGTGAGGAGGTGCGCTGCAGCAGGGAGGTGAGCTTCAGTGAGGAGAAGCGCTGCAGCGGGGAGGTGCGCTGTAGCAAGGAGAAGCGCTGCAGCGGGGAGGTGCAGTGCAGTGAGGAGATGCACTGCTGTGGAGATGCACTGCAGCGGGGAGGTGCACTGTAGCAAGGAGAAGCACTGCAGCGGGGAGGTGCACTGTAGCAAGGAGAAGCACTGCAGCGGGGAGGTGCACTGCAGCAGGGAGGTGTGCTTCAGTGAGGAGATGCGCTTCAGTGAGGAGATGCGCTGCAGCGGGGAGGTGCACTGCAGCAGGGAGGTGTGCTTCAGTGAGGAGATGCGCTGCAGCGGGGAGGTGCACTGCAGCAGGGAGGTGTGCTTCAGTGAGGAGATGCGCTTCAGTGAGGAGAAGCGCTGCAGCGGGGAGGTGCAGTGCAGTGAGGAGATGCACTGCTGTGGAGATGCACTGCAGTGTGGGTGTTCACCTTTCTGGGCAAAGGTGGGCAGCTAGGAGCCAATCTGCCACATCAGCAGCAAAGGAGCTGAGGGACCGGCCTTCCTGGGACAGCTAGGACTAGTTGCCTGGGAATTGCCAAGCCTCTGAGAGAATCATATGGAACTCACAGAGCCACCACTGTCTACAGATGCCACGAGGACCAATTCAACCATGCCTCCCATTCCTGTTTACCTCAGCCATTACTCCATGGTTACCATAACCACCAGTTTCTCATCTCTTTTACATGCTGGATCCAATCCAACTCCGCATCCTTCCAGACCATTCTCCTGTACCCATGGAATCAGGCTATGATCTACCAATTCTTTTGTTTTTTCTATGCCAAATGGTCCCTCTGTTGCCTCATGACACTGTCTTCTTCCCGTGTGGTATTTGCAAATCAAGGCCATACCTCACACTCTTCAACCTCAGGGTTCATGCTTTACATTGCTGCTTCCAGGTCATTATTTTCTTAAAAATTCCTTTCCCTCCATAAGGTTTATGCTATCCAGCTGAAACATTCTGTCCCCATTTTGTTAACTGATCCCTTAGTTGCTTCTTGCTAGTAACTGAACACTCAAGATCCTGGATTAATGTTGCTTCTATCCATCTCCTGCCATCATTCTTGATCATCATCATCAATATGCACGTGGATGTCCCACTCAACTGCTGGCCTACCAATTCCTTTACCTTACTTCCAAAGACTCAATTCCACGTGAGGCCCCTGTTCCCACGGTCATATACTGTCAGTCAGTGATAATAACTGCACCCCCATCCCGGCCCAGATCCTTAAATTCAACCATCTCATGCTCCAGCCCAATTGCTCAATTACCCCCATGAAAACAATGCTGGAATCAATTTCTCCAACTCACTGACTTTTCTGCTTTCTAATTATCCCCTTGTCCAACTTAGTTTCAATTTCATAATCACTGCTTTGCAAACAGCCTTCAGCTCCTTTGCCTCTCTCTCCTGCCATTCTAACCCCTAGCAAAACCCAGCCATCTCCCTATTCTGTGTAGGCAACTAAGCCATTGAAGCTTGCTGAATGCAGTCTGCATGGCTCCACAGATAGTGTTATTGCACATGCTCTGAAACAGGGACTTAACGTTACCCAGGAATTCTAGTTCCATTAAGCTTGCTTTCCTACTTTAATATTTTAAAAAAGTATTATCATTATTTTTTTAAACCCTCACCTGAGGACATTTTCAATTTATCTTCAGATAGAGTGGAAGGGGGGGAGGGAGGGAGGGAGAGAGAGAGAGAGAGAGAGAGAGAGAGAGAGAGAGAGAGAGAGAGAGAGAGAGACACTGATGTGAGAAAGACACATGGATTGACTGCCTCCCGTACGATCCCAACCAGTGCCAGGGACAGAACCCCAACCAAGGTATGTGCCCTTGACTGGAATCCAACCCACGACTCTTCAGTCCACGGGCCAACATGTTAACCACTCAGCCAAACTGGCCAGGGCTCTTTCCTAATGATTTATTTCATAACTTTCCTCTCCCCAAATCTCTCTCCTTCTGAACTGATGACTTTAATTGCCCAATAAGTGAGGAAATATCACTATATCTGTGCCCATCTTCATCTCTTCTCTTTCAATGCCTCCTTTCCAAAGGCTGATTTTCACCAGTGGTCTAGATCCTCCCCTCTCCTGCTTCCAGCACTTCACTCTCTTCATTCCCTCTGGCATGATCTCTTTTTCCCCCTATTAATCTGTTTCCTTAACACATAAACAGGTTCTATTATCTTACCAACTTACAGAAACCTACCTTTGATTTCACAATGCCCTCCAGCCACTGCTACTCTTCATATTCAAACTTAAAAAGCTGTTGCAGGGTCTGCCCATTCGCTGCCCACCTCACCTCAGCATCTGTCTGCGCAGACTGCCAGGCTGAAGCAGACAATGAGTGCTCACTGCCCACTCCAGGGGGCACTCCCCACAACTGATCAAGTCAAGAGCTCCCCCTTTTTGAAACTCACTTCTCCTAGATTTCAGGACCTTGCACTGTGCTGCCTACTCAACAGGCCACTGATGCCTCCAAGCTCAGTCCCGGGGCTTCTCCTCTCTTCTCTGTGCTGGGGTCCCAGGCTCTAAACACCATGTATAATCTCCACGCAGAGACTTCTGAATGAGATCGTAGTCCCCAGATCCCAGAGTAGCATAGCCATTGCCTATTCAACATTTTCATAGAACCTCAAATTTAATATGAGCAAAAGAGAACTCCTGATTTTTTTTTTAACTTCGAACTTGTCTCTCTCCCAATTTTCCCCATTCAGTAAAACTAACCTGTTGCTCAAGACAGAAAAGTTGGGAGTAATTCTGTCTTCTCTCTTTCCCGGCAACCAGTCCAGCACTAAACACATTCATTTAGCTGTGTCTCCATGGCAACCACCCTATTGCAAACCACCATCACCTAGTTAGTTCCTTATGGTCTCCCCTATTCCACGCTGCCCTCTCCCACACAGAAACTGGAAGAATCTTTTAAAAACATACGTCAGATCATATCATGCTTCAACAGCTCTCCACTGCATTTGGAACAAAACCCAATCTTCTTTCCATAATCTACAAGGCTTTGCATATTTCTACCTTCACCTCATGTCACTCTCTCCGTGGTTTACTAGGGACTGAGTGCATTAGTCTTCTTTTAGTTCCTCAGATACATCAAACCCCTTCCCTTCTCAGGGATGTTCTTATTCTGGTTCTTTGCCCAGTTATTCCTCAGGTCTCCAGGTAAATGTCACCTGGGTGGCACAGTCTTCCCTGACCATCCCACAGAAAGGTAGTTACATCCTTCCCGATCCCATTATTCTCCATCAAGGAGGCCTGTCTCTTCCTTTCTTGTAACACACCATTATACAATTGTTTATTTATAAGTTATTTTTGCTTTTGAAATTTTATGGGTCATTGCCAACCCCTATCCATCCCACTATACTATAAACTCTAGGTCCTCTTTTTTACACTGTATATTCAGCACCCAGAACGATCTAAAACATTTGGAATTTATTTTTTAAAGTGTACAAATTCACATTTTTCTGAAATATTCAGATACCAGGTATGATTAAAATGAAAAAATATTGTTTATTTTACTAAGGAGCTACATTTCCTTTGAGAATTATTTTTAAAGTCCAGTGTTGTTAGAGTTGACATACCTGCGAATCCCTTTAGGTGTTTCTCCAATTATGAAGGTGGTCTGGTCCGTATGGTATACTTTCTTCTTCTTCTGGCTCACAGGGTGTGAAATGAAAAGGGGAAATGCAATGCCTTCTCCACCTGGTTGTTGAACTTTCTTTGCATGTGTCGATGTATCTGCCTTCACTTTGTCTTTATATGTCTGAAAAAAGGGAAGAAAGCAAAACTGTCTCAAAAAATAGTCATTTTTGGTCAAATGAGGAGATTATGTTATATTTTCAACAATCAAGTATATAACCTTCTTCAACTGTTATCATTGTAAGAAGATGTTAATGTAGATATTTAAAAAGAGTACCTTTTAGATCTTTGTTAACGATTTTTGTTAAAGATCTAAAAGTAATGGCAATACTATGATGTTTCCATTGTACCTACAGTTTAAGACATATGGTAAAGATATTATCTTTCTTTTTTATCCTCACTCGAGGACATTTTTCCATTTTTTGTTCAGGTAGAGTGGGAGGGAGAGAGGAAGGGAGAGAGAGAGAGAAACATCGACGTGAAGGGACACATCGAGTGGCTGCCACCCACACGACCGACCAGGGCCGGGGACAAACTGCAACCGAGGTACGCGCCCTTAGCGGGAACCGAACCGGGTCTCAGGACCGCAAGTCGACGCTCTAACCGCTGAGCCAAACCGGCCAGGGCAAGATATTATCTTTCTTAAAGATAAAGTAAAAGTAATGGCAATAATATGATATTTCTACTTTCAAGACTGTGGGCATAATGATATATATGTTGATATCCATTATCCTAAAAAAAGATAAAAATTAATGATTACATAAATAATGGCATAAAATGTGATATTTAAAATTTTTTAATTTGGAAGTATTTCTCAAAATTATTAAGCAGACTTTCAGTTATTTAATTTTAGGTAAACGGTCAAACTGAAAAATAATCATCTTTTTTTTCATAGGCATCGAGTTTTATAGTTTTCAGTGACCAAATCTATAAAATGAAAAACAGGTTTACTAAAATGAGTCCAAAAGACAACACAGGAGATAAGGTCTAACCAAAGCGTGAGGCCCTCCTCCTCGAACCCTGAGCTCCACAGCCCCCGAGACCTAGGGCGAGGACAGGGGGCTGGGAACTCACGTCTGTATGCTCCAAATCCAAACCACACACTTTGGTTTTTGTTTTCTTCTTAATGGTTTTTAAAAAGCTAACCCCAGGGTCAGGCGGTCCGCCCAGTGCTCGAAGGCGCATCCAGCCAGCGCCACCTGCGCGGTGGGTCGTGGTGCAGCTCACTCCTGTGCTATGCTCCTCAGCACACACTTGACCGTGTAAGCGAAGGCTGCAAACCCAACTATGACAGACAAGTTCGCCAGGGCGCGGCCCAGGAGTCATTGGTGCCGGTTGGCCTGCGCAGCCCCGCGAGGTGTGGCCCTGGCCCCAGCCGTGCCCTTGAGGAGCTGAAGCCCATTCTGGCCGAGGTGCCCGGTCGGAGCCACCTCGGGAGGGGGAGCGCCTGGGGCCTGCTGCTGAGCTCCTCTTGTGCTCTTTGCTTCTGTTTAATTTCCTCCACAACTTCAGGAAACAATTCACAGAAGACTTTGTCTTTTAAATTAAATGCTAAACTCTGTGCAGCCAGCTGTCTTTTCGTGAAGTCCCACTCTCTATGCTGCCCAGGTGGGGCCCTTCTCCACCTTGAAGCTGGGCAGCCCAGTCGGGATGGTGGGGACGACCAGGCCGGGTTCCACGTGTCTGGGTGGAAGTCAGTGATGGAGAGACATGGCCTCTGTTGCACTTAAATCTTCCATTGGGGGTTATCATATAAATACTAGGAGGTTCAAAGGGAAATTCTCTGGGAAAAATCAGTTTTCCATGGTAACAGCCACCTTCATAAGGAGTCATCTCGGGGCCTCGGACCACGTAGTGCCACTCAAGAATATTGGAAGGGAGGGGCTCAGCACAGATGTAAGGCACCGGGTCTTTCCTAATTCCAAGGTAGTCTTTCAGTCGCTGGGTGGCTGTGGTTGGAGCTCTCTTATTGCTGCTGTTGCTCACCCCCCACCCCCACCCCGTCGCCGCTGTGCTCAGACTCGCCGTGGTCGAGTGGAGCCTGCGCCGAGGAGCCGCACCGCCCCGGGACCGAGCCCACCGCAGCGCCACAGCTTCAGTTCCAAGATGCGAAAAATAATAATCTTTATGTGATAATTAAATAAGAAACCATTTTCACAGATCCTACTTCTCATCTCTACTAGTGATTTTAAGACACTAAATACAGTTAATTGAAATTATAGATAGAATTTTTTTTTTTTTTTACAGACTGTGGGTTGTTTGCTTAAATTAAATTGTTAAAAAGGGTGGGTCATTTAACTATATGGTTCCAATTTCCCCAACAAGATGGTATAGTGAATATGTGGAAAGTAACCATCCCATTCCCCAAAGAGAAATACTAGATACAATTTGGCAATAATAAAATTATATTTGAGGTTAAAAGTAAAAAAGGAAAATCTCTATTGGGGGGGTGGTGGAGGAGGAAGAGGAGGTTACAGTCTGAAGGACCCCATGTGTGGAGGGGAGATGAAAAGTGATTTAGCTCCCTGAATTAAAAAACCAACCAACCAAAATACAGTAGGAGTTAAAAGGATATACAATTTGCAATTTAAAGCAAGGAAATCCCCAATTGGAGACACAGGATGTAAGCAGGCTACCTTCCTACTCTAGAAAGAATCACCAGTGAAAAATGGTGCCATTTGTGGAATCTGATTGTGTAGCACCTGGGTGATATGGAAAATCTAAGCTCAAAACTAAAATAAACAACTGGTTTAGAACCAGTGAAAATCATAGATCTCAATGAGGGGTGAACACATAAGGATGCCATGGGAAGACTTCCATAATCTAGAGAATGTTTGTGATTCCAATTGGGGGACCAAGGGAGAGAAATTCAGGCAAAAATTATTAGGATCCAATAAAACCCACCACCATGAAAGTGGGCAGATGCAACGAATGGGAGAATCTATATCTGAGGACTATAAATAAAGTAATCTGAAAGACTTTAAATCATTAGCATGTCCAGCAAGACAAAGGGAAAGACAAAATCCATCAGCAAGAACTATATATTATATAGGCAGGTTTGAGAAAGAACCAAATACAAACTCTAAAAAGGAAATATAGGTTAAATAGCAAACTAAACAGCCCCTACCTACAATGACAGTTGATAAACTGGTAGAATAAAATTACTAATAATGCAGTACAGAGACTAAACAAGAAAGAAAGAAGAAGAAAGAGAGAAAAAGAAATTAAGAGACAGAAGACATACCAACATTTCTAAAATACCAGAAAGAGAACAGAGAAAATAGAAGAGATAATGCCAAAGAGATAATGGCAGAGAATTAAAGAAGGCATAAATCCTCAAACTGAAAAAGGAGAATCTCTGGTGGGAAAAATAAAAATAAATCTGTACCTTGTTATAAATCAGATAAAGAAAATATCTTTAAAAATACTAGAAAAAAACACACAAGATATCCCACAAAGAAATGACAATCAAATGAAAGGCAGACTTCTCATTAATACTACTACCACCACCACCACCAGAAGATACTGAGATGTCATCAAAATGTAGAAAGAAAAAACTGTCAACCCAGAATTCTATACCCAATTAAACTATCATTTGAGAATTTATTTTCTTCAGCCATACAAAAACTATAAGAGTTTACTAGATAAAGATTCTTGCTGATGACATTTTATTTTTCTTTTATGAGAGTTCAATGAAATTGAAGTGGCATATATCAATGAATGTGGGTAGAGAATGGCCTTTTATTTTAAAAATATTTACTAAGTACCTATTATGATCCTGTCACCATGCTCTGCAGTTCAGAAGAAATATATTTACAAATACTAAGATATAAAATATCCTTACATATACATACACACACAAAGTACCCTTCAGAGACTTAAAATTGACAAGCCTATTATTTTTAAAAAGATGGCATGCTTACATTTTTCTTTGAAAAAATAAATCATTTATCTCTTTAACTTATACTGAGGTTCATTTTACTGAAATAAACTGAACATAAGATAAAACACAAGATATAATTATATGTTCTTTAGTAGCAAGCCATTTCTAATGAAAATAAATTGACCTCTTTCAAAATCTACTGTAATTCAGATAACAAACACAATGTTGAAAGTACTTTTCTTAAATACAGCTTCTTAAATCTTCAAACATTATTAATAAAGAGAAAAATGCTGATCTTTAAAGATAAGTTTAAAAGATATTTTATGCATTTATTTTATATCACAAGAAAACAAAATGAATGTTAAAAGTTCTTAATAAAAAGGCTCATTACCTTAGATGACCTCTAAGAAAGAAGTATCCACTATTATAAGGAGTGATGGGAATGTCTACATGAGGGTAAAGGGAGTAAACAGAAAGAGTAGGAACTGTGCCAACCAAGAACACTCCCTCCTCATATATTGCAATTTCTGAAGCCATAGAGAAATCGTGCCAGGAAATGACAATTTTTAGTTATTTACATAATTTCTATGGGTCTTTCTGACCCTGGAAGCATTACAAAGCTCACATTTTGTACAGATACATTTTTCATAAATCAATTTTATAAACTCTTCAACAAAATTCAGCCTTTCCAACCATAACTATCAGAAATGTGGATCTTTTTGTTTTTGCCACATATTATAAATTTTAAAACCTGATTATTTTACACAATAATAAAAAGGAAAAGCATTCATCTACCACATGAGCTCAATATCCTATCTTTTAAAAAAAAATCTATCTAGGTTCAAATTTCCATTTTCGTTGGTTATTTTAACACTTGACTGAAAGGAGGCCATGAAACAAAATTTTGTTCATTTAATAAACATCTGGTGCTCTTGTTATAAAAGTTGGTCTCACTATTTTATGGTAAAATAGTATCATTTACAATAGTATCCAATCCAAATACAAATATATCCTTTACAAATGATACAAGGAAACTAGTGTCATAGTGCAATCGAATTGTAGTGAGTTATAATTTATTATAAAGTAAAGTACAAGGTCTGTGGCCAACATGGAAAGATTTCGGATTACGGGAACTGGACTCTAGTTCATTCATTACCATGTGTGTCAAAGCTGCAAAGTTATATGATACGGAGGCATCTATATAAAGTAGCAACAGTAATGAAGGCTCAAGTAACAAAAAA